GGGGACCGCTTTTCCGATGCCTTAAGCATTTAATATTTATGCTTAAAGCTTTTTTATAACAATATATACTGTTTACTTTGTAATACACCCCTTAAGCGAGCCTTTTAGGTTATTTGTAAATAAAACAAAAGGAAATTGGTTGCTATATTAATAGCGTAGGATTTAAAAGCTTACCGCGCTTTTAAAAGTTAATTGTAAGAGCGCATTAGCCTTAAAAAGTAACGAAGCAAGCGTTTTCCGCTTTTAAAGGGTAACCGTAAAAGCGCATTAGCTTTGAAAAGTAACGAAGCAAGCGCTCCCCGTTGCTAAAGGCAACGAAACAAATGCTTTAGCTACAAAAAGTAACGAGGTAAATGCTTTAGCTATTACCGGGAAAAGGTAAGCGTAGCAATTAAAACCCTTTTTTTTTTTATTTCGTTCCGGCCTTCCTTTTTTTTCCTTTTTACCACCATTTTTTTATTAATTCGTAAGTTTTTACGCTTTCGTTCCTATCGTTTAAGCTTTTGTTAATATAAAAATTTTCGCAAAAGCAAAAGCAAGCAATTGTAAGTGCTTTACGCGGCGGCGTAATGTTTTAAAAACGTTGTGCGGTATTAATAAATTGGCTGGAAAATGGGTATTGCCGGTAATAAAGCAACGCGTGCAACCGTTCGAAAGCGCGCTAAGCGCAAAAAGCTTAACCGGGTTTAAACCCAAAAAAATAAATTGTAATTTTTTGCTTTTTTACCAATTTATTGCTTTTTCGCTAATTTCGTTTTGTACGCGTATAATGCGGATTTGCAAACGGCCATAGCTATTTTAGCAATTAAAGCTAAGCAAACGGAAAAAGCATTGTTTAAAGAAAGGAAAAAAGCCCAATAAATCGAAAAGGATAAGCAAAAAAAAAGTAAATTTTTCGCGGAAAAGGATAAGCAGCAAAATACAAAAAACGCGCGAAAGCAACAAGCTATTCGCAAAAAGGTTTGGAATAACGCCCAAGCAATTAAAGCGATAAAAGCGCGTGCGTTTACCGAAAGCGCTAAACGGGTTAAAATTAATTGGGCTCGTTACGCTAAACGGATGGAAGCTTTGCGCCGTTTTTTAATTTGGACCTTAATTAATATTACCGTAACCGTTTTCGAGCTTCCGGTTATTTTTGCTATTTTTTGCACCTTTCGTTTTAATCCCTAACCCAACCCGACCGGTACTTTTTAAGCTTCGGCTAAACCAAGCAAAAGCTTTGGGCCCGATTAACCTATTCGTTAAACGATTAAAATCAATTTTAATTTCGATAAATTCGTTAATCGGTTTGTTTAAAAAAATAACGATAATAACGATAAGCCCGTCGTTTTTCCCGATACCCGAAAGCGCAAAGCGGGTAAAAAAACGAAGGTAAATAACCAAATTAGTTCGTTTTTAACCGTTTTTGCGGGTTTTATGCTAATTACCCCCTTTTTTCCGTTTTAATCCTTAAAAAAAATGCTATTTGGCCTTTCCTTCCAGCGAAACCGTTGACCCTTTTTTAACGGGAACGTTTTAATTAGCTTTTTTAATAGTACCATTTCCCGCGCGGTCCCATACGATAAGTGCACCAAAAGCTTTTTAACAAAATTTCGGGGCCTTTGCAGCAATAAGCCCATAGCGCGCTCCTTTCGGAATGGTTATACTTTACGGTGTATTTAATGTGCTTAAAGCAATTACCGTTGCAACCCTTTCCCTTTTTTGCCCCAATTGCGCATTGCAATTGCTTTATTCCAAAAAAAGCTTTTGGGTAGCTTTTGCTTTAAAATTAAAAAGCTTAAAAAAGTGGTAAGCCATTTTTTCGAGCCTTACCCGAAACCGGGCAGCAAATAAAAGGATAAAGCCAAAAAAAAGAATAAAAAGGCTTTTCGTCGAAATGATTCTGCTTTTCGTGGCCCGACCCCAAAAAAAAGGGAAAATGGTAATAATAACGAAAAAAGTTAAAAAGGTAACATTAAAACCGCAATAGCTCGGGGCTATTTCCTTTATAAAAATGCTTTTATTTACTAAATAATGGGTAAGGGCTAAAGCTAGGATGGAAAGGAAAAATGAACAAAAAAAAGGTACAGCGCTTTTGGAAGCTGCACGCGTTATAATTAAATGCCGTTTTATTGTTTAAAACCGGTATATTTTATATTTATTAATAGGAAAGGAATTTGCGTTGTGCTTTTATGCAAACGTTATACGCTTTTGGTATTTGTTCCGAGGTTTTTAATTGCGTATTAAGCTTGCCGACCCGTCCTTAAAGGAATCGTACAACTTTAAAGCAATTTTAAATGTTTTAAACTTGTAAAGCGGGAGGTTTTTGGTAAGCCCGTTTGCTGGCATAAAGGCGGTTTTAAAATATACCACGTTAAACGTTCCTTTTTGGTACTTTTGGCGTAATTATATATTTATAATATCCACGTGCTTTAAAACCGTATTAATGCGGGTGCCCTTTTTAATTACCAATTGGATCGTTTGTATGTTATTATAGCAAAGTTTTTAAAAAATATTAATTTTTAAGCGTAGGTTTTAAAAAAGCTTTTGCATAGCGATAGTTTCCTTTCCGAGCTTTATAAGCGCTAAAAGTTTTGCTTTTATGGTAAACGTTGTAACGGTAGCCTATTTCTTTGCTTTCTACGCTACGGGCCTTTCGAATAGGAACATAACGTATCCTTTAAACGACTTTTTCGTTTTTTTGTCGTTAGCAAAGGAAGCGTTTAAAGCAAAAAGCAAATGGTCGGACTTTGGAACGTTCTTTAACCGGATGCAATAGGATTTCGACCTTTTTAAATACAAAAGGGTATGGTTTGCCGCTTTTAAATGCTTTTTACTTGGGTTTGTAAAGTATTTGGAAAGTTTTGCGCTTGCAAAAGCAACGTTTGGGCGGATGGTAATGGCCGTATAAAGTATAAACCCGACTTTTTTTTGCATGGCCAGGACTTCGGCGGGTATTGCTACTTTTAAATTTTTTTTAAGCGTTTAGCTAAGCAAAAGGGAGCGCTTTACGCTTTTGTTCCCAAAATTAAAAGTATTAACGATTTTGTCGATATAAAAATTGTAGTACAAGGTTATTGTTCGTGCCTTTTTGTCCTTTACGATTTAAACCTTAAAAAAGACCTTAAATGGTTCTTTTTTTATTTTGTACTTTTTTTAAAACCGTTTAATATTTTCGTTGCCATTTTTAAATGCGTAGCACGGTTAAGGATAATTATATCGTCGACGTACAAAAAAAAGAAAACCTTACGTTTTGTGCTTATAAATAAATAAGGCTTTTCCGTTAACGGGGTAAGCTTTAGCTTTTTAAAGGTTTTTTCGAGGGCTAGGTACCATAATTTCGGTAAATTTCGTAGCCCGTATAAGGCTTTTTTAAGCCGGGCTACGAACCTTTTTCGGTAATACCCAAGGGGGAACTTTACGTAAACGGGTATATGGTTATCGCCAATTTTTGCGTAAAGGAAAGCTTTATTAACGTCGATTTGGTGCGCTTCAAAGTCGAAATAAGCCATAATTACCATTATAATTTTAAAGCTTTTGGTTGCAAGCGTAATAGCGTAAATTTTTTCCAAACCGTTGGGTTATTAATTACCTTTAATTACCGCGCGGGATTTATAGTCCGTAACGTAACCGTTTTCGTCGAATTTGTAAATAAATACCCAGGCAATGTTAATAGCTTTGCTACTAAATAAATTTTTCGGAATTTTTTTCCAAATTCCTTTTTTTAATAGCTCGTTAATTTTCCCGAAAGCAAATTATTTAAATTTTTTTTTATGCGGGTGCGTATTAAGCTTTCGCTAAAACTTTAGGATTCGTTGTAATTCGTTTCGGTATAACCGCTTATTTTTTTAAAGGCTATTGCGCTTCGATATTTTCGCTACGGCAATTGCAATTATTTTGTAAACCGGGCAATAGCCAAAATTATTTTTTTTAATCGCCGTTTATTAATTAAATAAATACGTATTAAAAAAGGTTCGTTAGCTTTCGTTTATTAAGCTTGCTTTAAAAGCAGCGTTTTTAACTTTTGGTTTGGGAACGTTAAACGTTATCGCTAAACCGTAATAAAAAATAGCGTTATTAAAGTTATTGCGTCGTTTGCTTTCCTTTTTTTTTTTTTCCTTTTTTTCTTTTTTGCGGCCGCACGCGTTACGGCGCGAATCGCTTTAAACGTAATTATTAACGAATTCGGTAAAAACGCGTTAAAAAAAAAAGCTTTGGGCGAAAACAAAAAGCCCGTCCTTTTGCGAGGTTGGCCTTTGCCCTTTTTAACCGGAGGAAAAAGGGAAAGCGGCGCTTTTTGCTCGTTTGGGTTTGTTTCGGACAAACCCTTAAAAGCTTTAAACGCTTTTGGTATCGCGATTGGGGGCGCCGCAAAAGTGCCGCTTGTAATCGCGATTAGCATATCCGGTCCTAAAGTAAGCAAAAACCGGCTTGTTGCTTTATAAGGTAAAGCTAGCCTTAACGGTTTTAAAGGTTATTTTTCGGGTTTGTCGTTACTTTTACCCTTTACCGGCGGGAAGCTATCGCTTTTCCCGGGCCGTATAAAGCCGTAATACAAATTGCCTATACGTGGAAAGCCCGTATTACGCATTTACTTTGCTTTATGGCCATTTTTTAAAGCATTTGGAATTAAAAATTTGTGCGCGTTTGGATCCGGCCCGTCGGCCGAATCCTTTGCGGCTTTAGCTTTTGTAATTACGATAAAACCTGGCTTTTTTACCCCCGATTTTTAACCTTAATGTTCGGTAGCAAAGGTAAGTGCTTAAAGCTTTTTCGGTTAAAAAAGCCCTAGCGCATTAACAATTCCTTTTCGGGTTGCAAACGGGTTTTCCGTTTCGTTGTATTTAACTAACAAATTGTAAATAATTACGTTAATTGGGTCCTTTTTTTGCTTGCCTTTAAAAAAGCTTTTTTTATTAAATTTAACGTTTTTTGTAATTATTACTTTTTTTTAACGGGACCCAAATCCGGTAAATGT